TTTTGTTAGAAGACAGCCCATATTTGAAAGTGAGTTTCTGACTTCAGCACATGGAATGCAGGTGATGCGGCTGCTACAGCAGTCCAGTCCTTGTATGAGCTGGACCTTGGACTGGGCATTTATCTCACTGTAGTGCCAATAGAGAATGCTTAGTGGGAAGAACAAGAAATGGTTCGAGAATGAATTAATTTTCCCTGGTACGTATACACAGCCTCCAACAGTAATTCCAAGAGAACTTTGTCAACTCTATCTGGACTTGTCTGTGACATGAAAGAACCGATTTTGCAGCCAGAGAATTTGAGTACTGGGAAAAAGGTAAGCAGTAATTCAGAGAAGCAGAGCAGAAAAAAGAGTGGATATAAAAGCATTTTTTAGTATAGCAGTTTCTCCAGTTTAGCAAGTGGCAGGAGAGGTGCATGAATCCTGCCGAAAAGCAGAAATTTTGAATGAGGAATTGGCTGTAAAATACCATCATCATTCTTCCTGTTGGTGAGGCCAAAAACCAAGAGGTGTAGCACATGTGGACTGCATATCCTGGGGATTACAAATGTAAGAAAGCCAGGCTTCTTAAATGTAAGTCAACACCAAAAATGTTCAGGAAGAGATGTCTGGAGATAGAGAAATAGAAGTAATTTATTACACGTTAGGCATCTGGTACCTTTTAATCCTTGCAAGGATGCCTCAATAGGAGATTAATGTTCAGGGAATATTCACACTTACCATATGATTTTGTTGCTTTACTACAAATTCTGAAGCAGTTTCAAGATTATTCTGAATATGGTTTCCAGATGACAAGCCTAAAGTTCCTCCTGCAAACAACTGCAGATAGCAAATCTAGTGCTGAACAATATCTAAAAAGGGCAGCTGTTTTGGTCCTGGGTGTCAGTAAAGAGTTACTTGGGATGTAAGTGAAGGTACAGACAAATGGAAATCAATTACTTCTGCCAAGATAAATGGGAAAGGACAAACTGATAGAAGTGGAAAGATTAGACCTTTTTCTTAGAAAATACTCTTCAACAAAAATGAGTTGGTTCTTTTCCCTAATAGCTACAAGAATTCAGCTCACGATAAGGTAAATTCAGAAAAGAACTGGGAAGAAGGAAGGCTGCTTTTCTGTCTAAGCAGAGAACATAGTGAATGTGCAGCTGAGCAGTCTGTTTCTCCCATCCAGAAATGGAAGCTAGCAGAGTTGAAAAGACCTTACAAAATTAGTATTAAATGTTCAAAGTATTTATATTAGGCCATTGTCTCATACTGATTTGTACGCCACTCATGCGGTGTACCTCTCAGGGCAGGAGCAAACAAAGCATGTGTTCCAAACATATGATTGGGGCTATACTAAAATGTTTTGGAAATGTGAAGGCACACTGCTGCTCAAGCACTGCTCAGGCTTTGGCCCATGTGAGTCCAGCCAGAGTGGGATTTACCATCACCACATGGCAAGAGTGTTCTTAGGGAACTAGGGAAAGCGATAACTAGCTTGTAGCTGTTGTGGTTTGAGCTCAGAGGACAACTCAGCACCACTCAGCCACTCACTTCTCCCTTTCCCCCCAGCGCTGAGGAGAAAATAAGCCAGACTTGGGATTTGAGGTAGGACAGGGAGGGATAAATCACCCATTATGGTCACGGGCAGAAGGCAGACTCATTAGGGGAAGAAAAAAAAAAAACATAAATTTATTACAGGAACTAACAACAACAACACTTAACAGACAGAGTAGGACAGTGAGAAGCATTTCCACATCTTGAGAACACCTTCCCTCCACCCCTCCCTTCCCAGGCTCAGCTCTGCTCCCGATATCTCTACCCCCTCCCCCAGCAGCACAGGGGCAGGGAATGGGGGGTGCAGTCAGTGCTGCTGCTTCTTCCATCTTGGTGGGGGGGGTCTTCTGGAACTCCTTCCCCCTGCTGCAGGGTGGTCCCCCTCTTACAGGAGACAGTCCTCCACAAACCTTTTCTCTGACTTGAGTCCCTTCCACAGGCTGCAGCCCTTCCTGAGCTGCTCTGGTGTAGGACACACCTGCAAGCTGCAGTTGTCCCAGTGCTGAACTACAACAGCAGGGGCTGCTTCTTCCCAGAGGATTCCGGCTGCCTTTGGGATTTAATCTGCTATGGGGCCGCCTTGCCCTTTCACCACAGGGTACAGGGGGTCTCTGCTCCGGCACACCTCCCCCCTCCTTTCTTCCTCCATTCCTCCACTGACCTTGGTGTTCACGCAGCTGCAGCAACTGCTCCTCACAAGTCCAACTCCTCCTCCCAGATCCCTTCTTGAATACGTTATCGCAGAGGCGCAGCTGATGGGCTCAGCCTTGGTGCAGAGCTGGGTCCAGCTTGGAGCCCGGGGAACTTTGAGAAGCTTCTCACAGCGGCCACAACTGCAGCCCCCTCCTCAGCTACCAAAAACCCCACCACTTGCTCAAACCCAGGACAGTAGCTTAGGTGTCAATAGTGATGTCACAGTGGATTCTACATTCTGCCCTTTTTTTCCTGGTAAAGTATGGCCCAGTAGTCTCTAGTTCTCTTTTGATGAGTCAATTTGAGAGATGTTTTAGGGTGGATGAGGATGAGATGGACATGGGTCTGTGCTTAATATTCCCGTGACCACAAGACATATAGGAACACTGCTACCCCCAAAAATGAGGTCTTTTGCATTGGTCCAAGAATAGAATCTATGTGGACAAAGTGTTTTGAACAGCTAGATTTTTGCAGCATGGGAAGTAATAGTTCTTTCTGCTTATTAGAAACTAAGCTACCTTTGAGCCAAGGATTTTCTAGAGAAAGGAAGTAAAGTGAAAATCAGAGAATTGTGTAAGGATGCAGAGTACAGAGGGTCAATTCCAAAAAGTGCACAAGGGTGGGTTTTTAGCTGTCAGCATGTATGGGATGTGTAGACAGTAGCTACAGATAGCTTTTTTAACTTCATACTGCTGCTAGTTTACCTTTCTTACTAGATGTAAACATCAGTGCAGATGTGTGGCCAGAGAACACTGGAAACTTCAAACACTTTTCAGATCTATTGAGCAACAAAATATGTTTAATGAAATGGTATGAACACACAACAGTCTTTCAGTTTTGTTGCACAGTTTAATATACAGTCCACAGAAAAATACAACTTAATAAATGCTACTTCTCCAAAGCACAGAGAAACTGATTAACCTTTTCTTTTACATAAGAAGTGAAGATAAGTTTGCTTTCAAAGGTAAGAAAGTATACTCTTATGTCACATAAATACATGGACACACACCAACAAAGTAATGGATATTTTACCAGTATTAAACATAAATCAAAATATGCTGTCAATGTAATATTCAACTGAAAAATTACAAGCAACATGGCTAATATTAATACAGTTCTTGAGGCCCAAGAGAATATGTCTACAGCCCCAACTGCAGCAGGTATTAAGTCAGATTGTAGAGGCGAACTCCACTGCATTGTCCTGACAACCAGCTGCTTATACCAAAGCTGTTACAGTGGACTGATGAGACTCTGAGAAACCAAGTACTGCTTGTGGAAAGTCCTCGTTACCTTCTTTTATCATAGCTCTCTGACATATGTGGTATATACCCTATGGCTCTTGCTCCAGTCAATGTTTTGCTACATGGTTCAGTGTGCCAGGAAAATGGCACTTGTCAGGACCTGATACATTTTACCTCTGTGCAGTGTGGCTCTTAAGGCTAAATTGAGGCTTGTAACCTCATTAGGAAGTAGATGATCCAGCCATTGCAGTTTACCAGTCTGACCAAAACACACCATTAATGAAAGGCCTGGTTTTCAAGTTGTTCATGTGATCTACATAAGGGTTGCATGCAGAGCTATAGAGATGTTGCTCAGATCATCTTGCTCAGATGAGCTTTAATAAGTGTGTCTGCTTCTCTGATGGAAGCAGTTTAATGCAGACCAATAGCAAGCAGAGCTTCATGCTCCAGCTGTGACCAGCCACATCTTCATCAGCATCCTGGGGGAGAAGGCAGATTGCCCATGGGTTTCTTCATTCGCTTATTTGGTGGGAGACAATAAAGCAATAAAACAAGGCATCTGATTGCAAAGAGGGTAAAAAAAGAGTATCTTTGACTTTTATACTTTCTCTGTACGCACATGACCACACCAGAGAAACTATAAATCTGAATTTTGGTGATCAGTTATTACTCTGGGGTCATATGACTGTGTAATGTGAAAGCCTTTCATGGAAATATTGAAAACTCTAAACTACATTTTCCATGTGTGGTAGCGGAGAGGTTTCTATACATTTATCTTTCTTTTTAAGGGGACAGACATCCTAGAAAGTTTTAGCTAGTCTTTGGTCAAGTACAGCATGTTTGAGTGTAATACAGAAAGTACATAACATTGACAGTTCTTCCAGCATGCGACTTCAGCAATTACAGATCTCTTGCTTTCAAGTTCTGACCTCTCCTGTATTGGTATTTTTCAGTGGACCAGTGTCGTGGTTTGAGCCGGGTCAGCAACCAACCCCCGCAGCTAATCACCCTCCCTTCCCCCTCCCCACCTGGGAATGGGGGAGGGGATTAGAGTGGTGAAGGGAGACTCGCAGGCTGAGATAAGAACAGTTTAATAATGGCAATAAAATGAGAACAATGATGATGATAGGGGGAAAACAAAAAGAAATATATAAACAGGCAATGTACAGCGTAATTGCTCACCACCCACTGACCAATCCCCAGCCCATTCCTGGCCAGCGACCCCGAGATACCAAGATCCCGCAATCGCAATCCCGGAAGCGAGAGAGAGAGAGAGAGAGAGAGCGCCCCTTCCCGACCACCCCTCCTCTATACAGTGAGCATGACGTTCCATGATATGGAATATTTCACTGGCCAGTTTGGGTCTGGTGCTGTGGCTGTGCTCCCTCCCTGCTCCCTGTGCCCTTGCGCACGGGCAGGACATGGGGACTCGGAGAGTCCTTGAAGTCTCGGTAGCAGCTGAAAACACCAGTGTGCTATCAGCATTCTTCTCATACCAAACCCAAAGCTAAATCCAAAATACAGCACTCATCTAGTCCCTGAAAAGGAGTATTAGCTCTATTTCAGCCCAAACCAAGACAACCAGCAGCCAGCCTCTCCAGCATACCCTCATTGGGCATAGAGCCAGATTTTAAAAATGGAATTTTGAGAGTATTTAGCATGACTGATTTAGCTTCCACCTATGTAACATAGTACTCTGCAAACCTCTATTTCTTGCTTGTATTTTCATGCACTAATTAAAATCTGAGACCATTGTCTAACTGTGTCTGTAAAGAATATTGCTTTCACAGGGAGGAAAAATGGGAGGACTTTCTGAAAACTAAGGTTTCCAAGAGGGTTTATCTATCCTTTAAATATCTATAAATTAGTGTCAAAGTTCAATAGTTCCAGATTTGACTGCTGAGCAGTTCCAGCAATGCTGTCTTATGTAGTTCTGAAATTAAAATAATGTTTCTACTTAGCCAGTGTAACTTCCTCGTGAGCTACTGAATTACAGTAATTAACCTTTATAGAAATTACTTTTTTTCTCAGCCATGAATGTGTATGTCAGTTCCATTCAACTGCAGCACCACAGAGTCTTTTGAAAGGATGTTGCCCCAGGGAAGAGTGTTGCAGAGTACAGAGTTGTTAAAGATCATTAGCCTCAAGCTTTAGCTTACCAGTTCTGCAAAAAAAATTAGTCAGCCATCATGTTCTACATCTCAGCCACTTACTAGCTATAAACTGACGGCATTTTGTCTATTTTCCTGTGTCATCATCTTCCTGTCAATAAACAAGTCCACAGAATTTTTTCCTTAAAGGTGTATATTGGACATGACACATGTAAGACCACTTTTTAGGCTGAAGGACCTCTCTACATTTCTAAATACAAATATCAACTAAATTTATGTATCAAGTAAACTTATAAAACCAGATACATTGAATATAACCATTCACAGCAAATACTGATATTTGTTACCTTCCAAGAAGTATGTAATTTTACTTATCTATATACACATTTTTATTACAAAAGAAACATTTCTAAAAATCTGTGTCTTATTATTTATCACCGTATATGGAGTTTATATTAGGCAATTAAATCTACCTTGTATTTAAAGTGTTTTTTTGGTTTAAGTTGTGTGTGTTTGCATATTTAGTGGTGAAGAACTGGATTCTATACTAATAGTAGTTAATAATTGGTTTATGAAAATACTTTTCTTCTGTAAATACTTTTCATTTTAACGAATGTTGTAGAGCTTTAACTGTCTCCTGCTGTGAGATGTCAGGCTTTGTGTATAAATTGTTGATCTGCATATAATCTTAGGTATCTGGCAAGTAAACAATAAACAAAAAAAGCTAAGTAAACAATAACTGCCAAAATGTATGTAGCCTAATGTGTACCACAATTCTTTGTTTTCTATTACTGCTAGTGTCTTGGCAACATAGATAAATTAACATCCTGGAGTTTTCTGTCTTCTGTATTCTTCAAGGAACACGGACTTCACACAATTTTCTCATATTGTTTCATCATGTTAGTAACTGATGACACATAAAGCTTTATCTCTACCAAACTCTTTTGCTTTATCACAAGATTGCCAGAAGGAAGGTGATCATTATTATACCCATTGACCGGTAGGAAATAATATGGACTCTAATCAGAAATGCCTACGTTGCATGTATTGTGTGTTTCTGAGGAATTATTTCATTACAGGTACATAAACAAGTGATGTGAGGTAAAAGCCTGCTGTAAAACATAGTCATTTTTTGCAGGTTAATTGTAGAACTGCTGGTAATGGGAAGGTTAGTCTTTGTAATAACACATGTAGTCAAATGGTTTTGTCCATTTTATGACAGATTCTGGCACATTAAATTCTAAGGAATAGTTTCTTTATGTCTTTTTAAAAGAAAGACAGAGTAAAGGGGTAAGAATAAAACAAAGGTGCGAATGCTTTCTACTCTAGTTGATACCCAATGGTGTGTACTTACTCTTGGTAGAACTATGAAGGATGCAAGATGCCCAAACTTGAATATAGTGTATTAATCTGACCACAGGAAATTAAAAAGTTAAAACAAAAGCACTTTCAGATTTACTGAGGCATTTCAAGAACTAGTTCTGTAAACTGAGCAGGAATATTTTGCAGCAACTGCTAATGAAAGCATGTAAATTTTTTAAATGATTTTAGCTTTAAGAAAGCTAAGCACGTACAGGAAATGAAGAGGGAGCATGAAGAAATTGAATCGGTATGTTCAGAGTTGAAGATTTTGTGTTATGGTGAATAAGGTGGTGGTGACTGATCTGCAGCAATTTTGTCATAAGCTGGTGGAGCATCAGGTACCTATGGTAAAGAAAATGGGTATGAAAAGTTGAAAAAACATTTGAGGTACAAGAAAATGATATTAAAGATGAAGCAAGCTATTTACCTTCATATCAGGTATGGTACTACAGCTTAAAATAAATAAGCTCGTTCTTTATGTCTTTATCTTTTAAGGTTAGTTTTTGCTAATATGCTTTTTGGTTTTGCATCAGATTAAATCAATTTTGTTTGTATAATTCATCCAAAGAGAGAATTTTCAGTGTTATAAGTACAGGAATTTTTTAAAGAAGGAAATTTTTTTTATATATTGAGGATTCAGACTAGTATTGAAATTTTTCTTTAGGAGTCTTGATACAGGTACGTTGTCTTATTTTCAATGTTAACAATTTGGGCATGTTATTTAAAATTATTTGTAAATTATTCTTCTCCCTATTCTAAAAGTATTTAAGCACACACATAACAACATATATATTTATCAAGCAAGTTATTTTAACTTTTTTTAAAGTATAGGTTTGAATGTTCATCTTTCCATAATGATTGGATTAGGTAACACCTTGAAGTTTTATAATGTTCCCTGACAATCTTTGTCAGGGTATAGTATACCAGACACAGTCCACTTGTTGTCTGTCAGAATGGTGGAACATCTATTAGGGAGATGTTTGTTTATTCAGTATATTTCAGCATTCAAGTGTTACATCACTCCAATAGATTGCATGATGATCATACAATTAAAGAATAAAGGTAGGTAAAAGAAGGGAATTTTTAAAAAGAATTCTTAAGAGTAGATCTTAAAAACCCTTTTCATAGTAAAAATTGTGTAAAATACTACTTTTTAAGTTAATGTAGTTAATGTGGTTAATAATAACACCCAATCTAGAGAGCACATCCCAAGGAAGAAATCATCAACAAATGGGTGTTTACCAAGATTTTCTCAAGATGTCTTACTATGTTGTAAATAAACAAAACCTTGAGTTGCAACTTACCACAGAATTAAAGTTTCTGTACTCCTGCAGAGCCATTTTGCAGTCCAGTGTTGTTCCCTCACCTACGATGGTTCGTATTGTGCCCACACTAGAGTTTTTGTTCTGTGACAGATCATAAGGAAATATGAGGAAGTTGAAAGGAAGAAGAGTATGAAGTTGGAGGAAATTATGCATTATTTAATATTTGACAGCACATTTACATCATGCATTAGAATCTGGGATTAGGGCCAGACACAAAGCCAACAAGTAAGAGAGGTAATCTACCCATCACTTCTTGTCGTCTCTGCTGAGACATACCCTCTCTCATGTATTAGCCTATTACATTGCCAGAAAAAATGAGGTTCACATTTTTTAGGTCCAGGACTGCTGCAGAAACAGACACCTTTCCACGAACCCGAATGCCTCCTCCTTTCTTATCCCACCCCTTTCTTTCTTTAATCTCCAACTTTTTTTTTTTACACTTTTCCACCATTTCTTTTGTATATGTTCTGTACCAGTTCTCCCCTAGCCAAAAAATCTAACAAAGTTTGGTTTTCAAAACCAGAAAGCATCAATCTGCAATGAGAAAGAATTAAGAAAGGGACTGTGCTTTTTGCGATGATGTACAAAACAGGCATGAAAGAATTGTGCTTTGCTTTTTGAAATTTTTTTTGAGTATAACCTTCATTTTGCAGTGTTTCACTATGAAAGTTCAGATTTTATGTATTGTGATATATGTTTTGGATAGATCACTGGAAAGGTAACAGGACAAAGTTATTGAAAACAGCAGGGAAATGGATTTGCTGGCTGAGATGGAGGCATGTTTCTTTGTTTGAAATGGTCACATCTTTTTTGAAATATTAGGATAACTAAAAAGTATTTATTGCAAAACGTATAATTAGATAAAATTGTCACTCTAAAGGGTTAAAAGTGGCCTCCCTTTCATAGGAGAGAGATCAGAACTTCAAAGACAAAGCTTTGAGACTTCTAACAGCAGATGTTACCAGAATTGTACATTTTTAATATATTTTTTAAGAAGACACAAAGTAGAATTTTTTAGAAGCATCATGTAGAAAGCAAACCTCAAACCTGCCCTGCTTTTCTGTGAATCTTAAAACTGCATGTCAACTTTTATACAAATAAATCATCCACCACCCATACAGGAACACAGTATTTACTCAGTTACTTGTAACAGTTCTTTTTCTTCTCTGCTTCCTAGATCTAATCATATCTGTCCGTATTTAGGGGTAAGTCTTATGAGTACTGAATATGTTATTTTTATTTAAATGAAAATACACATAACATACCTTGGTTTTGTGTAAATATTAAATTCAATGCTTCCTAGAGATCAGTTTTTCGACTGATGTGTTGTGCAAAGATGAGCAACTGGCTTCATCTCCCTATGCTTCTGCTTCCTCTTGCCTCTTCACCTGACTTGCAAGTTCTTCAGGGCAAGGTGTGTTTCATATTGTGTGGTTTTACCTGTGTATATGTCAGTGTATATATTGCCTGAGATAATGATGTCCTATTACAGATTTGATGTGGTCCACATTAATGTAATGTAAATAATGATAATATGTTGTCAAAATAATAGCATGCTAGAAAGTGAGCTTCCATGCTTACCCGCAGACTTTTATAGCCACTACGTCTTTTGTAATACCAGCAGCCAACGATAAGTAAAATTGCCAGCACCAAAATGAAGAGTCCAATACCCAGAGCTCTGTTGCGAAAGCAAAACAAAATAATTAACACCAGAACTAGATGCATTCTTCTGGGAGCAAGAATGATTAGAGAAACAATATGTATCGGTATCCTTATATCAGAGGAAAGCATGGAGCAGAACTTACTTCATAAAATAGATAAAGTATCAATAAATTCAGCCAGTCTCTGTAGATTAATCAGCTAGCTAAATTCTCTGCCGAATTATTAAGCATTTTAAAAACGAAGAATAGATTACTTTGAAGATAATAATCTACCAGTGACTACTGCTTCTAAGAAAATTCCTGCCTGTAAATCCAGCAAACAGGATTGCGATATTGTAAGAGAATGTGAAATAAATTAAATGCCACACCTGCAGAGACACAGCTCATGTTTATTTGTTAAATTTCTTTAGGCAGCAAATATTGAGAAATGTGTCCTAACTGCATTATATTGCAACAACTGCTGGTGACCGAAAGAATTTTGGGATATATGAACCACTACACAACCTCAAAACCCAAGTAAGAACCTTTAAATTATTCAGAAAGAACTCTGTTTTTCTTTAGTTTCTGTTCCATGACGTACTAGGCATGGGATTGGTGTCACTGGGTCATTTTAGGGAATGCAGGCTTTGCAAACTCTGCTGCAAAACATCATTTCCATTGCTTACCAGGGACTTGGGAGAAGAAGCACAGATCCACTGTCAGAAAGCAAGCTGACAAAGTAATTGCAACTTTCCTGGTCACAAAACCCCTTCCTCCTGTGCTAATATCCTCCCTGTCAAGAGATACAGAATTCACTCCCCTTTTATTTTTTTATCCTGTTCTGTTCCTGAACAGGCAAAGAAGAGTCTCTAAAATGCTTAAAGGGAAAAGAGGACAGGAAAAAATTGACCACATGAGTCAAGATAAACCCATTCTAACATTTTTCCTATATATATATCTTATATCCAGTTGCCCTGCAGTAATTACCACCAGGCTTTTCCACTGGGACTGAGGAGTGAAGTATGTGACTTACCAGAAGCCTTTTACATCTATTTGCTATCATTTTCACTGGCTCAGAGTCTTGTAAAAGAGTGTTTCCTTGTGACCTACAAAGCCTGGACGAAGATGCATGCAGATTCATGTGCCAGAACAGGCTGTCTTTTTGTCTGACCTGCCTGTGTGCTGTTTGAAGCATGAACCCCCTTGGAGCCAAAGGGATTTTGTTTTCCACATGTACCTGAATCTTGCAAGTTGCTCCTGCCCATTCAAGACTTTGTGATCTCTGGAGATCTGTATGACCCAAGAATATCGTTCGCAGCATTCACTTACTTCCTGGTGCAGCCATGTTGCAGCTGATCTTCAAAATTATGGGATGGCTCTTCTGGTTTTGTTACTGCCCTCAGAACAGATAAAACTTGGAGAGACTAATTCTCCAAGCAATTGCTGCCTTTTCTACATTTTGAGACTGCTTTCTGCTTTTCATGTGCTCGGTAGTTTTAGCCATTAATAGGCCTGTATCCCCCACAGAATGCATGTAATTTCTGGAGTTGGTGATTTTAACTGTGTGTTTGCCATCTAACTCCTTCCCTACCTATTCAGAGGGTAGTAGGAAAAGTACGTATGCAATTTATTGCAATTCCAGTTAAAGTCGCAGCTGTCCTATTAGGACTCTGTGCTTATATCTTGAATGCTCCTTCTGGTACTGGAAGGAGGGAGTCACTTTTCCCTCCCATATTTAGAAAACTGGTTACAAGTGCAGCCGCTGCAATCCACAGCAGTTAGAGGCGAGCATGCTTAGTTTCAGGTGCTGAGACATGACTATTCAGCTTTTTCTTTTGGAGAACTGCACTGATTTGGAAGGACTATGAGAGATCCTTCTCCTTTGTTTATTCTCTCTGAACATGGAGAAACAAACATCTCACAGTATGCACATGTGTGTGGAACAAGTTACTAAGTTTGGGGCCAATAAACCAGTACCAGAAGCACATTCCACATACAGATATCCCAAGAGCATTGGAAGTGTTTCTCTAAAGTAATAACACATCCCCAGTGGAATGGTGTCTCTAGTAATTCAAGACCAAACATATTTTATTTTAAGACAAAACTAACAAAGTATTAGCTTGAATTAGTTCTTCTCAAGTGGAGCCTCACCCAGAAACAATTTACCGAGAGTCACATTTCTATGGCATTCATGTCTCCATCTGCTTTTTGATGGTATTCTACCATTTCTGTGGGGTTTTCCCTTATATTATTTAGGATGACATAGTGTCCCTCTGAGGCTCTGAAGAGAGGTATGTGGATCTGGAGATAAAACTTAGTGTAAAGATCACCTTGCAACAGCCTCAAAATAAAATTATAAGTAAGCCTCAATAAACATGGCAACTTTATTATAAAGACTTCTGATCATACAATCAAACTCTAGATTCCTGAATTCTGCATTTTTTATATTTTTTAACCATTGAAGGCTCTATGATTCTGCAATGACAGACATTAGAGACACCTACAAGATAGCTAAAATGCACTCTATCACTCTACCACTATACAACAGTGACTTTTTCTGATACTGGTTTGTATATTTCTTTCAAAGTAATTTTTTTTCACCAGCTTACAGGCTAACACAGAGTTTAGTTTATGCTTACTCTTCTGCTGCAAGATAGCTGTGTCCTTTCCCTCTGAAAAAGTTGCCATCTGGATGGTGGTTTCTTCTGGGCATTTTGTGAGCCTGGTCCTGCTCAAACCTATGGGATAGAATATGCATATGCATATATAGAATATACATATGCAACTGTGCCAATTAAAGGCAAAACTCTATAACTATAGTCTACATATGAATAGCTCCGCTGACATGAAGGTGTTTGCACCTGAGTGCAAGAGAGAAGAATTTGACATGGTCTCTTCAGGTACTAAGTGATGGCAGATACCTGAAGTAAAATCTCTCAGGAATGTAGAAAGAAAAGGAATTCATCTGGACAAGAAAAAGCATTCAGAAGAAGAAAAACTAATATTGTCCTTACCAGAAGTTGTTTCTTTATTTCTGTTATTTTCTGTAAACATTCAAGGGCCAGGTTTTCAATCAATGTAAACTGTGAGAGTTCTGTTGATTTTCAGATGGTTATTCTATTTTATGCCTTCTGACATTCTATACTTCAATGTGAAGGGAATTTATATTATAATCTTAATTTCTGGTTTTAAGGGAATAATTATCCATCTAAAAGTAATCTGAACATTTTAAAAGCTAGCTGGTCAAATGTAGTCAAGAAGAAATCCACAGCTAATCATGTTTTTGTCATTTAAACAGCACAACAACAGATCCTACTTGATAGTATCCAGCTAATCTACCTACCTTACACAGGCAAAGTATAAATCCCAATGATTTTACTGAAGAGAATTCTAGCCAAGGAAACAAAACATTTTCAGAGTTCACTTAGAATAAGTCAAGCCTCTTCTGAAGCATAATTCTGAAGCAACCAAGAAAATTTTGGGTAGAATAAAAAAATACAGATCTTACCTCCTTCAGACCTGTACTCTGTCTGTTAACTGAAAGGCACGTACAGCTTTCTTTTCCTTGACTTGGTCTGTTTTTTTCTTCTTTGATCTGTTCTCTTATGACTATCACGAGTTTAAATTCCTTTCAGTACAGCTTCTGAATGCATTAATTAGCATGAAAGAGGCAAGGAGACAACTTTTCATTTTTTTCTTACAGTCTACATCCCTCCTAGTAAGGAGCTCAAAAATCTGTTATTTCATCATTTATCACATACCATCTGAGAAGTGGCTCAACACCATTTTACCTGTCTAATCGGTACAACCTTCTAGAGTGGGCGGACTGCTTCTAAATTCAGTTTTGATTTAGGGCCAATTATTTTGTGACAGAGGGCTGGTGTTTTCTCATGTGTTCAACTATAGCTTTGTTTATGCACACTTTTTGCATCATTGTAACACTGTCAAAACTAGTATATTTGGAACAAAACTCACAGATGGATGCTGTTATACCATGATAGAAGTGTCTTGGGGCAAGTACAGTTTAATTCTGTACTGGTAAGCAAATTTTGCAACAAAAAGAGAGTCTGTCTCATGGGCTGCAGAACTAATGAAGCCTGGTTTCCTATGGATTTGTGTGAATTGCCTGTGCTCACACTGCAGTAATTCCATTTACAACACCAGGCAAGAAATGGCAGTCTGTGATTAATTCAGAGGTCTGGATACTGTGATGGGCCAGCAGTGCTAGTTACTGCCAAAAAAAAAAAAAAAAAAAAAAAAAAAATGAAGCTAGAAGAACCATGTTCCACTTGTCATTTTTCCCAGTGATTCATTAATTTGAGCCTCTGTATCCTGTCTAGATTTTTTTTTTTTTTTAAAAAAAAAAGGACTCAAAACTTAGAAGTTTTTGTTTATCTTTGAACCTGTGATCCTGGATCTAAATGTGATTGAAAATGATTGAAAGGACTAAAAAGTGAATAGGAAAGAACAGGTAGTGTGAGAGATCAACACCTGTTTCCTTAGGAAATCTGATTAAAAGACTTAACATCAATATTCTTAGCTAACACAGAGCTAAGAAGAGCCAGACCATTTTTCTGCTTGTGTATCTTGCCTAATTATGGTAAAAATCTGATCTTTGGATATTTTTCCATGGTGGTACCCAGTGACAGAGCCAGAGGCAATGGGCACAGACTGAAACACAGGAGGTGCCCTCTGGACATCAGGAAACACTTTTTTACCATGAGAGTGACTGAGGCCTAGCACAGGTTTCTCAGAGAAGGCTGTGGAGTCTCCCACCCTGGAAAGAGTCACAAGCCATCTGGACAGAGTCCCGGGCAACCTGCTGTAGGTGGCCCTGAAGGAGCCAGGGCATTGGACCAGACAACTTCCAGAGGACCCATCCAACCTCCGTCATTCTGTGATTAGCACCAGGAGGATCTAATTGTTTTTGCTATACCCATTAAAGTTTGAAACAACACATATTTTTGTGGAGGGAAAAATAAAGGGAGGAAGAAGAATGAACACCAGTGAGGATTGCTCATTTGGCCAGTTGGTTCAGTATTTCTCTTACATTACTGCAGATGAACTCACTGGGAGTTTCAAAGGTGAACGAAGTGCAAGAGTTTCTGGAAGGAAAAGAGGGAAAATTTCTGTAGACACCCATGTGTGTCAAACAGTAAGCATACACCATCACAGTCTATTGAGTTCCCAAGCAATATGCTAGCCCTCGTACAGTACTCTGAAAATGTCATAGAGCTCATTATCATATATTTTCCTGAAGAAAACTTCACTTCTAGGAGAGGATGATAACTGAAGGATATTGTCTTTGTCAGAATCAAAACTGAGACATACAGAAAGTCCATGTGATACCAAAACCAGTCTCTGCCCCTTCCTTGCCTCAAGCAGTGTGGAGGGCAAAATGTCAACTGAACAAATAGTTTGTGTTCTGAATGAATCTCTTATTAATAGTATAGCAAGGAATGGGAAAAAACCACAACTTTGTTATAGATCTGTGATGCCATCTGGTATGTAAAAGCACAATGCTGCTATTGAGGAATTGAATAGACGAGAAGGTGAAACACCATGTCCTGGTTCTGATCTCAGTTTCTTTACAAAATCTTACTTCTCTGAGATCAGGCTGCTAACTCCATCAGCGTAAAGTCACTGGAATTGACATATGAATTCCATAGGCGTTATCTTTTTAAAGATAACATTTCAGGAGATGAGGGTGGAAGGATTACTTAGGAGAAACCTCAGAGAAACTCAGGCCTTTTGTGATAGCCAACAACCTGTGGTAAGCCTAGGATGCTCTGAAGTATCTTGATGATAGGTATGAAATGAATGCCGCTAGTGTAACTGAAAATAACAAGCCTGATCTTTTAAAAAGAACAGCAGTTATTTTTATGCTGTTTACAGTGTGATTCCATCTTTCTAAGACAAGATCCTAGGATTTTTATTAATTTATTTCCCTTGAAATGAATCTTATCTTCTTCTTTCTTCTCCTTGCTCCAGCCTCCCATCGCGCTTGCGCAGTGCTCCCTGGTGGTCGTGGGCAGGGGTCTTCAAATGAAGGCTCGTAGTCTTCTTCACTGTGTTCGCTCGTTGACCCTTACTTCTGCGCAAACTCAGTCCTGTAGTCAGGTACACCTTGTCCTTCAAGTCTGGGCCAATTTGCAGCTCCTTTGTCTTTATGGCTCAGTGGTTTCAGTTCCTCTCCTATCTCAAGGACAAGGGATACCAGAGATGGCCCACCCCGTTCTTTCTGATTCCATTGCAAAGGAGTTACCACCCTTTGATATGGACCATCTGGTGAGCATCCCAAAGAAAAGGGGAGGGCTGTTGGGTTGGTGTTTCCTCAGATCAATCCCCCCCTTTTCCCAGTAGTAAATTCTTTTACTTTTCTTAAAATTTGGATCGTTGTACTAATAATCGCTTTAGCCTAACTCAATAAAAGTAATTGTTTAATTACTTTTAGCAAAAGCAAAATTCTTCTATTATTTATCACACAAGTAATCCCTGCAGTAATAGTCCAGTGAAACTTGAACACTGGCTGTTACAGCTGAAGTAAAAGTAGTTTCAGAATGAATGCAAACACCTGCTACTTTTTCCGTGCTATTAAACAGATACATAGTCACCAGCTGACAGAGTGTCCAGGTGACTAATACTATTCAGTGCATTTAGCAAAAAAAAAAATAAAAAATGACAGCTTTTCATTTCTCTCTTTACAAGGTCACGGGATCCTGTTCAGACTGGTGGGGACCTGCGGAGGGCTCCAGCCCCAGCCTCTGCCCCGAGCGGAGACAGCTGTGGGCTCAGACTGGGCTGCTCAGGGCTTCGCCCGCTCGGGGCATGAAGCCCCCAAGGATGGAGAGGGCCCAAGCTCCCTTGGCCCCAGCTCCACTGCTGGGCTGTCCTTGTGGCTCCAGCCTGGGCCTCTCTTCTGTCAGCTTGTGCCACTGCCTCTCACCCTCCTGCCATGCTCCGCTGTGACGAGCCCGGCTGTGTCCCCGCATCCCTCCCATCCCCTTGGTGCTGGGCATGCTGCTGGGTGCCCCCAAAGCTGCCCCTCCTCCTGGCTGAACCAGCCCCGCTCCCGCAGCCTCTCAGTGAGTCCTCTCCTGAACTCAGTCACATTTATCAACTTCTTTCCCACACCCGGTGCCCCAAGAAGGATGCACACCTGCAGAGCAGAGGGGAATAATCACCTCCCTTGATTTACTGCCTGTGCCTCCGTTCATACAGCCCAGGATGCCACTAGCCTTCTTTACTGCCTGTGCCAGAATATCAAAATACAGAAACTGGTGGCAGGGCATGTAAATAAAATATAGAATTTAACAGAAAGTCAGAAGTGGAAACTGCATCTGTTAAACATCTCTCCATTCTTCCCCACTTCAAACAGTTCCCCTTCCTTTCATTTTATAAAATCAGGCATTATTTTAAACATTGGAACACTGTAGAATGTTTAAAAATAACACTTTCTAGCGAAATCCAAGTTTTTCAATTGACAGGATTGAAAAATGTTTTGTCAGAAATTTCAGGGCCTTGCTACAAGACTTTGCCCACCCAGTTGTGTCCCTTCCAATCTGTGTTCTCCAATCAAGCCCCTCACAGTTGATTTATTAGTGGTTCAGCTAGTTTCCTGTAAATTAAATTAAATTTTTGAAATAATTGTTATTCTTATGACACAAGGAATGATTATTTTGGATGAGTGATTTATGTTAAACTTGGCTTCATAGATAAAGTGTTTCAATGGTAAAAATTTCTCAAGATCATGACTAGGATAGCTATGATATTTGTAATACTCTGAAAGCTTTTAAGTGCCATGTTTTTCCTTTTACTGTTTCTTTTAAAATGTGACCCAGCCCTTCCTCCCTCCTTTTACATTCTCTCTTCCCCCTGATAAAATAAAGTGACCAAAAAAAAGAAAAAGTTACTTGGATAGAGACTCTTTTTATTCTCATAAATCAAATATTTGTTCAAAGAGCTTCAGGATAGTTGAAATGTGGAACTAAAGAGGATCTCAGGTCATCTAGTCCACCCCACTATTCTGAAGCACAACTGAATATATTTAGATTTTCTCTCATGTCTTATCTATTCTCTGATATCTCTATGTTTTCATATTCTCCCTACAGTCTGTTTCTGTGCTTAACAGACTACAATGTTTTTTCCCCATTATATAACTCTGCCTTGCTGCAAATGGCATCAACTACTAATTGCCTGAACAAGAAAATGAATTAATTGTGTCGTCTTTATCTCAACCTATTACGGATTTGAAAGCTTACAAGCATCATTATCTCCTCTATCTTACCACAGCACAGAAAGACACTTACTATTTTTACTATAAGTTTCCATTTGGGATTCTTTCTTAGTTTGAAGACTACTACAGCCTTAGGTCTTACGCTGTTTTTCATCAATTCTTCTCCATTTTATGTGTGTGTATCTTGTTTTTCACTTCTGATATTTAGGACTGCATTTCTCTATACTGAATTCTATTATTCATATATCTTTCTCCAGTTATCAGGTTTATTTATTTATCAGATTCCAGCCCTGATCTGTAGAGTACCTGCAAGCCCTTTCGCTCAAATTATATTCAAGTACTCTTGCTTTCATATCCAACTTGTTTACTGCAAATACCAAACACTACTTCCTCAAGCTAAATATCTGTCAGCTGATGCCTCTGTTTGATAGTGATGGCTGCAGTCTGTATTTGGGGGGACAGCTTCTATCTGCTGTATACACTCCTCATGGTAATTTAATTTAGACCATAGTTTCTCTAGTTTGCTTGTCACAGCCCTGTGGGACTGTGTTGAAGACTTGTAGAGTCAAGATGCAACTTCAACATGAAAATAGTATTATAATGGTTACTAGTGTGGGTTGTTTGTAAACTAATGCCTTTCTTCTGCAGTTTCAAACATTTCTATCCAAAACTTCCATCATTTTATAAATCCTACTAATATGGAGTTTGGAGAAAATAAAACACTTCCATATGTCCTGAAATGCTGAAAAATGCCTGATCTAATCACACCACTATGTCATGTTCTCAGTACGTTCTGCTTTGAAGTTTCAGGAGATGGAGGGAATGGTAGGGTAACGTTGACTTTTCTGGTTTAGTGTTAGTCTGGCGTCTTCTTTCTTTTCTGTATTGGACTTGATCGAAAGCAACTAAAAATCCAGCTGATAGGACGAGAGTGGCTTCTGCCATGTAGAAGCCTGCTCTGCAATCTCCAGCCATGTCCACAGTCAGACCTGGGGAGAAACAAATGACAGCAATGTGAATGATAGAAAACAGGCTAATGTGAATTAGCTCAGCAGTGTGAGCATACCCTCTCACAGAGGGAGTATGCTGGCTACATACCTGTCTTGTAGCTTTCTACATCATGAGTGCATGGAATGTCACCCCATTATAGCATTTCAAAATTCAGACCACAATTCACGTCTCATTTACTTTGCATATGTGAATTGCTAGTAAAACAAAAGGCTCTACAGTTTGAAGCACTTTCCAACCTAAAATATGGCAGACAATGAAGGTAATACCATAAAAAAAAAAAAAAATCATGCAGCTTTGTGTCTGAGTAACCTCATGTTCTATGGTGTAGCTGTCATCAGTTGCTGTGATTTGGACCATAACTGTCCAGCATGGAAGAGTTTAAAGAAGTCAAGGAGAGGCTTCTGCTGGAGACACAGTTGGAGAGGTTGCCTGCAGTGTTATGGACTTTCCTGTTCATCATTTTACAGAGTCACAGATGTTAACAAAAATACCCTGGGTTTTAGGTAGATTTAAGCCAACCAACATACCTAATGGCATTGCATAACACTGAAAAAACAGGAGTATAGTAGTAGTGCTGCAGCAGTATATGTGGTAGTATCGGCTGCTCTGTAGGTATGATGGCAGGTTCATTTGTGGACTCATAAAGGCTGTTTGCTTGGTCTCCCATTGAAAAGCTTGTCCATATTTAGTGTATCTAGCCCTTGTTCTAATCTAACATCAGTCTTGTTAGGCAAAGAAACTCTGCACCCAAATCCTTTCGATTTTACTCTTAAAGTAGGAGGCGAGTGCTCAAGAAGCACTCCTCTTCCATAACTTCTTTTTAGCCTACTATATATAGACAAAGGGGTCAATATATAGATCCTCAGGTAACCAGTACTAGTGACCAGCCACTATATAAATGTCTTGTTATCTTTGTACTTTATTTAGATCTTCCCAACATACTTTTGATACTATTCTGTCTCAAATTCTCTATAAATCTCCCTGGTTCCTATATTTTCGAAAGTGAATTATAATCTTCCAGTATTCAGTCTGACCCATTTGCAACCTATCAGTGGCATCATTACCACAAAAATCACTGTAGGGCGTGAGCAGTGGTCTTTGGATGAGGACTCAGATCCTCATTTTACAAGTCACATTGGTCATTTTTCTGCTATATGACTTTGTAAAGTCCCTACAGCTTGCAACTTGTTTGTCTTGCATTTTTCCAAGATGACTTTGACTCATTGCCAGCCGATAAATCCATGTGCTGTCTCATTGTCTGCTCTCTCTTCCCACTGTTTTTATGTGCTGCCTCCCCCATTTATTACACTGGTTAGCTCAAATGCTGTCTGAAAACAGCAGGCATCTCTGAATATTTTCTTGAGGTTCACAAAGCCTAATGTTTCAAGCTGTTCAACTTGACCTTCTGTAGAAACCTTCCCAAAAATACCAGCATTTATGCAACATCACTACCCTCAAATTTCAGTTTCTTGTCTGAAAATATGGATCTGCTGCTTGTCCCTTATGTACACTTACACAGCAAGACATTTGGAATCCATCAAGTGGGATTCTGTGGGATTCAGGAAGCAGGAACACCACCATGAGAACCCTGCCATTCTTTCCTGGTTTCATGTTGAACAGGTATCTCTAAAACCACAGAGAAGAGAGGGAGCAAGATATTTCGGAACAGAATTAAACTGACTCTTTGTTTTTATACACTTCTTGGCTAAGGTACCCCTGAGCTAAAAAAGGGGGATATCTGGGTCCAGATCCAGATTTTTTCTGTTTGGGTTACCATCCCCCTTTCTTCTTGTAAACTGTATTTGGCAGAGTATCATCTTAACTTAACCAGCAAGAGGAGGACCCACAAAACCTCCAGTGCTTTGAATGAGCATTAAAAGCCCCACAGCGCTGTCAAAATCTGGCATGCCTACAATATCTGCTAGCACTGTAATGTGAACGGCAACTGTTGCACCAAAGAATAATCCATAGAAGCCAGTGAATATTGCCAAGGACAAGTAATTGTTAGCTAGTGGCAACAGCATCAGGGAAGTACTGATCAGTGTAATTGTCATTGTCAGCAGATGAACAGTTTTGGTAATGTGGAGAGTGGCATACCAGCCAAACTGCAGTCTGTCCACAAAGTCATTGCCAAAGTGGATAGGAGGGATGCAGTCCACAATTCATCTATTCCCAGGCTGCAGCTAAGTGGAACTAAAAGTAATGGAGGAACAAAAAACCTCATAGCAGCTAATATGCCAAAAATGTCATAAAGTACAAATTCCGGTCGCCTCACAAGCATCCAGTCGCAGGTTTTGTGTGTGATGGGAGACTTATTTTCTTTGTCTGTCCTAGATGCACCATTGCCAGGTGGTGTCTCAGTTTCAGAATGGCTAGCCTCAAGGAGGCAGCGGCTTGCCAGGGCTCTCATCAGTGCTCCACAGACACAAATATTGAGTCGTCTGCCACCTATGATCAAGAGGGCACCTCTCCATCCATATTGACTAATCAACCACTGGAAAAATGGCCCAAATGTGAATGCAAAGGCACATTCTCCGGCACTGGCAATAGCATTGGCCAAAGCTCTTTTCTGGGAGAAATGATGGCTAACAATGCTAATGGCTAGTGTCCGTTAAAAGGAAATCCTGAGCCCTGAAAAACACTGATACAAATAGCACCAGTTGGACACTACTGAGGTATTTTTTGAAGGCAGAAATCAAAGCAGTCAGTGCTCCTACATCTGCAAAATTAAAGACTGCTAAAAGAAAAACTTTTTTGTTCCTAGTAGAAGCAGGAGCTCAGCTATACTGTGTGTAAGAGTGTATTTGTGGTGTACGTTCTGTATGAATAAGACGTATGTTCAAGCAAAAAAAAGCAGAAGTATGAAGTATACACTATTATACTCTCACTGTGAAAAAAAAAATAATAAAAAAACAAACCAAAACAGGTTGGTTTGACAAATTTGCCACTGGGTGACAAATCACATGACCACTGATTGAAACTAGACAGATCTCAGAGTGTCCATGCCGTCCTAATAAGGCTGGTACTAGATCAGATTGTCAGATTAAACTGAGCTGTGTTCAGGATAGAAAGTGAGGGAGGACATGAAGGAAGCTGGTGTATTACCTCTATTTGCTCTTCATTTTCTTGCCTGACTGCTCTGAGCAGGCTTCAAACCTGCTCTAACTTACAGTGATTTTAATGGCTCCCTAGAAACTATTTGGCAGCCCCAGACTGCCAAAGGGCTCAAATTCCAGACATTTTCAGGCATCCAGCATGGAACTGGGAATGGTTTATTTTATTCCCTGCCAGCTTCGCTTCCAGGAAAATCTGCTAGCTGTTGGAGACAACTTTCTGGCCTGTTTTCACCTGGAGTAAAGGGAAGTATTGGAATCAGCTGAAAACCTGGGCCTGTGTTCAAAACATAACATTATTTGATAGAAAGTACAAAATTTGGGATCTCTATGTCCATGTACTTCAGCACCCTTTAGGTTCTTTAAATCTCCACAGAGTTCTTGTCTCTGTGTAAATAATTAAACACTTTTCATTTTCTGGTTGCATATAATTTGCAGGTAAAAATTACTAGCACCTAATTATTCACCTTCTTTGTCACTGCAGGTTGCTAGCACAAATTCTTACTTCCAAGGTGAGATGCAAAGGAAATGACCTTTAAAGAGAGTTGCTGGTTCTAGTTGCTCATAAAATCAAAATGGAAATCAGATTTTAAAACTCTGACCATTAGCACTCTCAAATAAGGATTCTGAGTTGCTGGTGAAATAAATCCATAAATCCACACCCTGTGGGAAGCAAGTCATTGCATACATCTAGACCATGTTGAGTCCAAGAAATTCCAGTGCCATTCCTGAAGAAGCCAGGAGTCTTCCAGTGATCACAAGTGTCCGATGAGTGTATCATACACATAGTGAGCTAGCAACAGGGGCTGGACCAACAGCAAAATAGGATAAAGATAAATATGTTAGGAACATTAAGTTGATCAACAGGACCAAACACCCAAATAAAGCATTTGGAGGAGAAATACCCTTATAATGCTTCTCTCAGACAGCCTGAATTAGGCTGGATTGGGTGGGCAGGGGGGTGTCAATCAAGATTTTAAAATTGGAACCTTGCTGATAAGGAAATGAGTGTCCCTGAGGCACAGATTTTAAAATATATTCAAAATATGTGGACTTTTTTAAAGAGAAAGGGCATATCAGTGTCTTCTTGCAGAGCAGTTCTACTGAGTTTCATGTAAGGATACAACCAGCAACATGACAAATTCATGTAGCATTTATCAGGAAGTGTAACCCAAGCCATATAATCTCTAGGTTAATCTATAAAAAATGTGTCACTGAGAGTGTGCTATGGATATGGCTGGCGTGAAAACTTTTTGGAGAAAACTAATTTATCTTCTAGAGCTTTGCAAAATCATCTGTTCATGGAATTGCAAATGTTTTATAAAGGACCAAGAATAAAGATTTATTCTGAGGTAATATTTTTTTCAGGAAATCTGCAGTTAATTTCTTAAATTTTTATTTCAGTGGTACAGTTTCTCTCAGCAGACTGCAGGAACTCTTCAACACAGGAGGGCAAAGTTGTACCAGGTACAGATCTGACTTGGTGCAGCAACTCCAGAAAACAAAGCACTGGTCTCTAGTCACTGTCTGGAGCACCTGAAATGTTAGGGATATTTTTGCTTAATTAAGGATCAGTTACACTGTCTGAATTTTTCTCCACCAGCAACACAGAGTTAAGATCAAGGCCATTCCTATCGCAGAAAGGCACTCTCTGTTGTATGGGGATAGTTTCAAACACCACATATGGCATTTTTTTAAAATAACCATGGCCACTAGAGGGATTCCAAGCAACACCTGATACCACCAGTTCTCGGTGGGGTTCTGTAGTGCAAACAGGGACTCAGCTCCCTACAATTCATTGATATTCTGGAAACCGGAGTTTGGGAATGAAATGAAATTCTGTTAACAAGGGCTTGTAAATGCTTATAAACTGAAATAAGTGGGGATCAATGAAGAGAGAGAAATCAGCAAGGGAGGTTTTATAGCAGTTTGTAGGGGCCTGTTGTGCATTCATCTGTGTTAAGTAAGATAAGAATGAAGAGAATTTGGTAGCTAGGACACATGAAAAAAACCCAGCAGAGAGATATGAATGGCTGCAAGATCTGCAGAATGTACACTGACAGCAGGTAGCTGTCAGAAGTTATATAAAACCCAAATGTCTCATCAGCATTTACAGCAAAAACACAATGATTTGATAAGCATGTAAAAATGATACTGGAAGTCAGGCATGGTCTGTAAGAGGTAGTGAAAGGGATGAGACAGGATAAAGCATGTACAGTTGGAGAATCATACATATATGATGAACAAAAGAAGACAAAATCAGACTCAAGATAACAAGAGAGATCCATGGAAGTGCTTAAAGACAAGAGAAAGATCTGCAGCTGGAGCAGAACGATTACCAGAAAGCAATTTTTTTAATAGAAAATGAGAAGAAATAAGCAGAAATTGAACATGGGGTTGAAGGAGGAAGAAAGAAGCTATCTGCAGAGCCAGAAACAGAGAAGATAGCTAGGGTCCAGAGTCTGAAAGGATAAAAGGCAATACACAGAAAACTTATAAACAATGGAAAGGGAAGATAATCACCATGCAAAGAGTAAGGTGATGGGAGATGTACATCAGTACCAAGAAAAGGCCTATGTGTGTGATGGGTGAAGCTGAGAATTAAGTCTCAATAGCCATAATCCTTGTGGTAAATTGAACAGCCTGTTGCAGGTGTAAACCCCAAAAGTAGAAGCATGTGCTCTCCTTCCACACAAGACACAGAGCTTCTGTTGAAAGGATCCAAATGGGAAAAATTAATAATTCACTCATCATCCTTCATACTGAGCCAAGTGACATGGAAGGTTTCCCAGAGGAACATATTAAGAAAGATTAAGTCAGGCCAGGAAAGATGCTCAAAAACTGGGAGCTCAGATGATCTTCAGCAGAATGTCTTCTGCTCCCTGTAAATGAAGCAAAAGCAGGCGAAGATAATGAAAATTACCTACTGACCCAAGATGTCATGAACTGCTATGCAGAAAGGTTTTGGAACATTTTGCCATCAAGATGTATTCACTGAAAGAGAATTATTTTCATAGGATTTCAAAAGATGAAAAACAATTTCTGGTGAAAAATATAGCTGCCTTCTTTTAAGTAGGCCAGCCTCACACCTGGCTAGGCAAATACAGTTTTGCTGGTCTATACTTGATATTATTTAATATGATCCATCCTTGATACATTCCTATATAATGTAAATACACATTTAAAAAAATCACAAAACCAAAAAACAAACAAAAAACCCCTACCTAAACCAGGACTTGGAGGTCTTTTATCCTCCTATGTTGGCTTTTTTTTTTTTTCTTATTAAGTTCATATGCCTGAATGACAAAATAGTATCACAATAGGTCAGTTCTAAGTCTAATTTGTAAACCAAATTGTCAGATTCCCATCTATTCATTTCCACAGCCTGTGCAGTAGGTGGAAAATCAGGTTTTTCATTGGTTTTTCAATTAAATATTTCTCTCAGAATGGAACAAGCTCTGATATTGCAAATCAATCATCAAGAAGAGAAGTTTACGGAACTGATAAAATATTTTCAACTCAAGACTTGCTTTATCTTTTTACTTCAACTTTGAATTACTGTTTTCTTCTGAATACATTTCTCAAAGAAAGATCAGTTGCTCACGATCTTTGGAAGTACTGCAATTACAAGCAATAATACTGATAGGTGTGGACTGAGTAGGATGCATATAATTATATAGTGTCTATGCAATGAAGCATCCTCACAAACAAAGTTATGATCTATTACATAAGGATACTTATCTGTTGCAACTATATATCTATATGAGAACACATAGAGTAGACTTTACAAATTCTGTACAGTTCGTGCCTGAACATGTTTGGAATCCTCACCATAATGGGAAGGATCGTTCAGTTTACAAGGACACAAAGGATTCCGTAAACAACTAAGTTGAGTGAAATGCAGTATGTTTGATATTTTTCCCTCCATTGTTTGGTGAAGTGTGCTATTTGACCTGATCTCAGAGCTCATTCCCTTTGAATGGGATAGTTCACTCTCTTTTCCCTTGCTCTCTGCTTGCGTGGTCTTGTGTTTCTAATGCTCTCTATGAGTGAGCTGAATTTTTTTTCTCTTTAACTCAGTGAGTTTTCTGTTAGATTAGTAACATGCAAATCATTCTAAGGGGGAGGGGGAAAAAAAGAGAGCCAGAACTGGCAATATATGAAAGGAAGGGGGATCTTGGTGAAGGCAAAAAGGAGAAGTGAGGGGAAAGCTGAACCGAAAGTCACCATTCTGGTAGCAGATAGCTTATCTGCTAGGCAGGGTCCTAGTCCTTATGTCTTAAAGCACTTTGAAAAAGTGACAGTCACTGTGAGATCAGTGAACTTGCACAAACTGGTTTAAGAGTTTGCTCCAACAGGCTCTGAAGTTCTTAGGATTACTTCCCATGTGTTCGATACTAAGCCTGTAAGAAACTGGGTACATGAAGTTCTCTAAGGCAATCAGATTCCTGAGTATATATACAGTCCTCATTAACTCATTCCATGTCTGAGGCAGCAAATGCCAATTTTCTGTAGAGACAGAAGAAAGAAGTATTGTCCTTACATGTTTTTGTTTTGTGGGTTTTTTTTAAGACAGGTCTTCAGAATTTCTTGAGTAATTAAGACATTAAAATGAAGTGCTAAAGAAGTACTTCTACCTACCTCCTAAATGAGAGATGGCAATAGTTACTGATGTGATCCAGGAAGTGGTGCTTGCAAGTTCATCAAAATGTTGCTGGATTTCAACAAAGAACAGACCACAAGTCTTGAGGATGGCAGCAGTGAAGCCCATCACCATGAAGGCTGACACTACCACAACCCACCCATAGCCACCACCTGGTGGATTGCTGTTTTTAGCCTGCCTCTTTTCTCATTACCAGATTTTCTCTCAGTTTTTTTGCTAGTGTGTTAGTGATAGTGGTGAAGATCTGAAAATTAGAAGAAGTCCCAGTGTTAAAGAAGTTAATTAAAAGATTCTAGGACTGACTTACACAAGTAATTATCAAGTGAAAACACAATACGCATTCCAGTGGTTTGATTGAAAATATTACCTGGAAAACAGATGCACCAAAAGACAGAAGGCAGTCTAGAAAGTAAAGCAAAGAAAGTTAAAAAATGAAGGAAAGAAGGAAAAATATTCAGGTAAGGAGGGCAGAAAAAAGAAGCATACAAATGCGAAAACAGGACAGAAGATAAGGGGAAAAGAGATGCTCCAGACACTAAGATTTTCAAAAATAGTCCCAGGATCCCACTCATTCTATTAACTTCAAGAACCTTATCCCACCCACTTCTCAACCAATACATTATAGTAAACAATTAGGAAATAAAATGCCTGACAGGATACCATACTTTCTAACATTCTCTGGGCATTGCAGTAATGAACCTGAAAGCCACCAAGGAAGTTGTTTATACCCATCGGCCTCTTGTCATAATTGTGTGTATGGATAAAGCGTAATTATGTTTGCTAAGTTGCTCCTATGAGTGGTATCACTAGTGAGACAGAATAAGAGGTAGAAAAAAATAAAAGATTCCTAACCTTAAAAAGGCAGGAAATGTCTCAGTTTCAATCTTCTGGGTATCCACATAAATGGAAATAAATGGAAGCTACTGCACTTATCTGGAAGTCTGAACCTAGTAGATTTTCCGTTCCTGAAATGGCAGCCTCTCAGATGTTTCACTTTTCATTCAGCAAATACCAAAATGACATTTAAAACTAAAAGAATTCAAGCTGAAGGTATTGATTAGAGGATTCTCTCAACCTTGACACTGTCTATTTAATCACTGTATAAGTTCCAGGAATACTGCAAACCTGTTTTTTTCTGTTTGTGCTTTGTCCCTAAAATCCCATGTGAAGTGGCAATTTTGACTGAGGAGTGGGACTGTATAAACTTAATACTAACTCCTGTTGTTGTAAGCAATACTCTAATTCAGAACCATGACAATAATGTCTTAGTAATTCCAGTGGCAGCAGGTCTTCCCTCTGTATAAACAGGATGAGTGTAATCTCAAAAACGGTATTCAGCATGAAACTGGGTTACTCTGGTGTCTGAGGAGTGTATTAGGAAACCATTATTAGATATGGTACTGGACATCTGAACACTACCTACACACTGTGAAACACTGGAGGTCCCTGACACATAATACTACAGATATTAAAACTTTACATTAAAATATTAGACAAATCTGTCCTGTACAAAACTGTTGAGAATTACTGAATGCTTAAAATGGTCCCTGGCTCAGCAAGCCTCCAAGCTGCAAGTAGCCAGAAACTGGGAAGTGTCACTTTATGCTTAGTCTATTCTTAACCATAAACACTCCTTTTTGGCCTGAACCAATATAGCCATTTTATAGTGTGAGTAACTTGCAAGGAACACTGCATAAGAATTTTAGGGTCCTCAACATTTGAGCATTTATGAACATTCATGGCTTCAGCACTGCCAAGCATTTGTAGCCAAAATGGGGCACATGCTTCCTTGTGAAGGAGTGTCTTAACAGGCAAGAACATCTTATTAAACATATAACTGAAAAAGTGAATTTCCCCTTAGAAGTTTTGTGACAAACTTGGAGTAATCACTCAGTGCACAGAGGACACAGGATCTGGACAAGGGAGGGAAATATTCCTACTTTCTCTTGTTTCTTCATGGACACTAAATTCTGAGTGGGCATGTTGTACAAAATGAAAGAGACCAAAAAAGACCTGGCATGGGAAGGAGTTTTGTTCTAAGTGGGAAAATGTGAACTAAAGATAGCTGAAGATGTACTATACTTACATTTATCTTCCCTGTGTGCAACTGGGAAAGACGAGGACTAAGAGAATCCATACCACTAGAAGCCATGCAGTACAAAGTAGCAGTCACCAGTCCTGTGATTTGCTGTACTGAGGTATGTGATCTCAGGAGGACCTAAAACACTGCAGCAGGGTGGGGGAAAGAAGCTGTCAGAGCCTCGTAGGAATCAAAGACAAAATCATTCTGCTGCCATGTGTCTGGCTCAAACTTCAGACTAACATGTGGCACTGGACACATTTGCATGACAGACACAGCCAGACAGATTAATCAGTTGCACAAGGTCTGAGACAACATCCTGAAAATCTTAAAACTCAGCCACAAGAGAGGGAGGAATGCCTTGTGGTTGAGGTCTATATGAAGAAACCTGGGTTTCATTCCCACAGCCTCTGGGTGAGAAAGTTGTTTGATCTTGCCGTGCCTCTGTTTTCTGTTGTTAAACGCAAGTAATACTTTCGAAGTTCATTAATTTTGTGAGGTTGAAAATGTTAATACCTGTATTAGTGCTCAGATACTGAAATACGGGAACTAGATCAAGCTGTAGCCATGTCTTCTGATATTGCTGGGCCCAAGTAGCATGGTCGTAATTCGTTTTGAGGCACTTGAGAACATAAAAAAGGATGCAACACTCAGGCTAAATAAGCCTGCCTAGGCAGAGTGATACTGATATTACTGCACTCTGCATAGACATGCCTGGGCAAGGGATTATCATTTCTGCTGCAAGACAGATAGAAGAAGTCCTGCTACTTAGCAGGCAGCATCCAGACTAAAACAGGCATGATAAAATCTACTACTTTCTGACACCACCCAGCACCCTTCACCTTCATTGGGCAAACTCTGCCCTAGGAAGAGTATAAATCAGAACCCTACCGCTCACAAGACTTACATGAACACTCTTTTTCCTGACCACAAATGCATCTTGTATGTCACAGCTCAGAAATCAGCCTCCAGTTGCTTTTAATGATCACAGTGTTACATGCAACTCCAAAATGAAATTACTATTTCAGTTGTTTGATTAATTAATGTGGTCGTTATCTCCTAGGAGCCCTACAGATTTCAAAGCAGTACAGCTACATACTGTAGTGAATTGCTGGAATACCTGAACAACATAGAAGAAAGCGTAGATGTTGTCATGGGTGGACATGTTGTTTCTGACACTATACTCTGCTTTCTTCTCTCCGTCACTTGCAAGTGAAAGTTTACTACCACCACGTAATTGAGGAAAACTAAGATGAAAACCCACTCATGATCTCTTTTTTGCTCCTACCTATTGAATAATGGTAAATGGCAAGGTTTTAATGTCCTCACTTTCTCCCCTTGACCCTAAAACTAACCCTTTAAAAGAAAGGAGGGAAAACCCATAGGGAAGCTGCCCTTCCTGTTGTGCTTGGCCACACACAAAATCCCTCAAAGTATGGAAAGCCATTAGCATTCTGCCCAGCATCTCACTGCCTCCTACCTCCAAGCTTCCCCATGGCAGCTGGAATGGATGCCCTGTGAGACAGGGGCTTCAATCCGGAAAGACACAATAATGTTGTCTGTGCTTGGCATGTGCATCAGCAAGAGCAGACAGCTCTGCCAGTAGTATCATTCCCTTTATGGAGAAACTGGCCACAAAGAACATGCAGGGAAAAGTGCAACCTTTATCTTTGCAGCTGGATAGCTACAAAGGCACTTCCTGTGGCACTGGGGGTGTTTCCCTATTACTGCTCTGCAAGTTCTCCAAGACATTTCTGCTTTTATTCATGTCAAGGATTCAGAAGTTTTATCAGACAATAATAAAAAGAAATTATATAAAGCTTGTCTGACTGCTTGCACTTTAGGGTGCCATATAAACTTGTGAAGACCAGTACTTGTGTTACTTGGTTATCTTTTGTTCCATGTTCTCATTTGCTTTTTACAGAATAGCAAATGAGTTTAATATATTTGCTGCGCATTGCAGAACAACTTGGTGGTAGAGTCAAGAAAAGACTGTTGTTGCCACAAATTGCAGTCTTCTTGTTTTTATGCAAGTCATACATAAAGCTCCCTAAATAACTGTATTCACTCTTTCTTAGAGGCTGGGTGGGCTCCCTATGAGCTGGTGATAGTTGGCGCTTTGCTGAAACAGCTTCCCCAAGAAGACAAAAAAGGCAAGTATTATGTTTTCCCATGGTTAGATGAAGAAATGTGACTTGTTAGTGGGAGGTTGGTTTGGGTTTCCAGTACAAGCATGGTACTTTATCTTAGATTTGGACTTAGCAAAGAAAAAGAAGAAAAACACACCTGATGTATACAAAGGCAAAACTACTTTTAGCAAAGGCTGATACTGGGACAGGACCACCAACTAGACTACATTGAATCAGGAACTATTCAGTAAAATCAACTACATAAAACTAAATACAATGTAAATATTTAATAAATTGACAGCAGATTAACTAATATAATCTTGTTTTAATTACTGTATTAGAAGAAAGATGGAAAGAAATATGGAAAGAAATTGTAATTTATGCTGAAACTTCCTTCACACATGTGCCTCTATACACAGACAGGGAGCAGGTACTTACTATGTTTGTCACACTCTGATACGTTGTGGTCTTCATCTAACACTCAGTCTGACTCTTCTGATGTTCTCTTGCCACCAAAGCTTCAAATACAAGAGAGCCGTGCTAGTTATTGCTCTTCAGTAAGAGCAGACTCAGGAGGACCTCCTAATAAAATTCTCTTATCTAACTTCACTGAGAGCATTTTAGTAAGAGCCAATCTAATGAATATAATCTATGATGAAATTTACTGACAAAGCATATCAGGATAGAAAAGAGGGGCTGAATGCTCTGAGCAACCAGTTTGAAGTAACAAAAATAAAGTATAGCATAAAAAAATTAACTTGTTCTGGTAACCCGGACTTGTATGGGGTATGAAGCTCCTCCTTCACCTTCCAGTTATATGTAAGTTCTTGAATTGTGCTGCAAACTACGAGGTCATTTTACTCATTGATCTTTGTATGCACAGTTTAGCTGAACAAACCTATCTGTCTCATTCAGGATGTGTAAGATGTCAGATTTTATAAGAATCTTGTCCTCCCCTCCCCAAAATCATTTGATTCCCCCTATGCTCAGAAAGACAAAGTTCTGTCCTGACTAGAGATCTAAGAAAGCAAATTCAGGGATAGGTGGAGGGAACAAGAGAAGGAAGGCAAACTTTATAATATATCTGCACTGTACTTGTACTAGACTTGGACAGCTGTCTACATTTTTTATTGAACTCAACTACTGGGCCAACCAGAAAGTTCAGAAGAGTCAGCCGACCTCAAATTACCCAGTGTAATGCCAACATTTCCTCAAATATTAAATTAATTTGTGACTTTTCCATGATTGTGCTGTTGGGCAGATGTTGGCAACAGCTGAGAATCACACAGACTGCAGCAACTACAAAAACGATAGGAAGCCTGAATATGCTTTCCCAGTCCCAAGCCTGCAATGTGGATCGTGACAACCTTTTGCCATATCAGAGCAGTCCCTTTGTTGTGTGATTTGTTTTTTCAAGAGCTCCCAATTCCTTATATACTGCTGGATCTCCTGAAACTTTTATCTCCCAGCTTTCACTGCTAGTTTATTGTAGCTGATTCTGTGTTTCTTAGCAATTTGCCTTG